CCAAAACCGTTTTACCTCCACGTCCTCCCCAATTCGTAATTCACGGTCACCCTTTCACACGTCCCTATAAAATATATGTAGTTGAGAATTCGTCGTTAAATTAAACTGAGAACGGAAAAACTGTATCCCTCCTCAGTTTACACTGTCTGCTGTTTCTGCGTCTTGAGGCCGCCTTCCCCTGTCTAGAGAGGTCCTCACACATAAACAGTTTCACTGGTGTTAAGACAATTCTTCATTGGAACCCATCAAGTAAACCTGCCAACTAACTAACCAACTAACTTCATGGAGCTGAGTCCTTAACAAACCAACAGATATATTCTAAAGGGTTCTCACGATGGTGTATACTACTCAGAATTACTGGGGTTTTGGACATTCTCCATCGTCCGGTATTCTAGAAACTATAAAACACGACGTTTCAGAAACTGGGTGTTTCCGAAACGTCGTGTTTCATAGTTTCTAGAATACCGGACGATGTAAAAAGTCCAAAAACCCAGTAATTCTGAGTAAAATCAACAGTTGCTCAGCCAGTCAAGAAATTTCCAGCATTCTATAGAACCCGAAGGCTCATTACCGTGTTCACAACAGCCCACCACTGGACTCTATCCTGAGACAGAAGAATCCAGTCTATACACGTTCGCTCAATTCTTTAAGCTACACTTTAATATTATCCTCCCATTAAGTGACAGTGAGTTTAGAACTCTGGGTTGTGCATGAGAAGTGAGGAGAATTATAGCAAGTAACTGCATTGTATCAGGAAGCGAGATGAATTTTTGTCTGACTGATCAGTGAACCCCTATAATTCTTATTTCAGTAGACTCAAACAGACACACCGCTCATTCCGTTGAGAGCGGCCAGAGGCAGAAACAGGGAGCGTACGCAGTCAGTATAGGGACTGGCTACGGGCTGGACGTGAGGAGCCGGGATAGCGCAGTCAGTATAGCGACTGGTTACGGGCTGGACGTGAGGAGCCGGGATAGCTCAGTCAGTATAGAGACTGGCTACGGGCTGGACGTGAGGAGCCGGGATAGCACAGTCAGTATAGGGACTGGCTACGGGCTGGACGTGAGGAGCCGGGATAGCGCAGTCAGTATAGCGACTGGCTACGGGCTGGACGTGAGGAGCCGGGATAGCGCAGTCAGTATAGCGACTGGCTACGGGCTGGACGTGAGGAGCCGGGATAGCGCAGTCAGTATAGCGACTGGCTACGGGCTGGACGTGAGGAGCCGGGATAGCGCAGTCAGTATAGCGACTGGCTACGGGCTGGACGTGAGGAGCCGGGATAGCGCAGTCAGTATAGCGACTGGCTACGGGCTGGACGTGAGGAGCCGGGATAGCGCAGTCAGTATAGCGACTGGCTACGGGCTGGACGTGAGGAGCCGGGATAGCGCAGTCAGTATAGCGACTGGCTACGGGCTGGACGTGAGGAGCCGGGATAGCGCAGTCAGTATAGCGACTGGCTACGGGCTGGACGTGAGGAGCCGGGATAGCGCAGTCAGTATAGCGACTGGCTACGGGCTGGACGTGAGGAGCCGGGATAGTACAGTCAGTATAGCGACTGGCTACGGGCTGGACGGCCGAGGGTTCGTAGCTCGAGTGCCGGTAGGGTTAAGAATTTTCACGTATCCATGTCTTCCAGGGCTGCTCTGGGGCCCTGCGGACATTTTCCCAGTGGGTAAAACGGCCGGGGCGTGAAGCTGATCACTCGTCTGCAACTAATGCCGAGGTCAAGAAAACATGGATATAAAAGAGCGACCATCTTCAGAAAAAACATATCAATACATGCGGAAAATACTGTTACAATGTCGCTCCGGCCGAAACACGTAAAGGATGAAAGATAAAAAAAAAAACATTTATCTCACACTGAATAGCGTTAGCAGCCCTTTATACTATTACTAGTGTGATGGACCAGGATGAACCAACTAATAAGTTACATTATATCACAACTGTCGACACTGGCACAGTTCTTAGTGCCCTCACGTTTTCTCACGTAAAGAAAACAACATGAAGAGCGCCGTTCCAATGCGGCAACTTCTCTGACATTAGAGTACTGCGTACAATCTAATCTTGGCGCCGGAGGCGCAATGTAACTAACTGCTGTTCCGAGACTCAACATTACGGTCCTGTGAAGAAGGCAGTGACAACAAATCTGAACTCCTCCACATTTCGCCAGCCTCGACGGTAGCCAACCGCTCAGTCCCGAACTGTAACGATGGTACAACTAGAATACTGGTAAAACTAACCAAACAAAAGTATGTTCACAGAGGTTTGGTGAACCGTCAGTGAGGGGTGGAGTAGAAATTCAGTCCATTACGAGTACTACGGTTCTTTATCTTCTATTTTACATTATGCATGTACACATTTCTGCCGATCACAGTGGCCACGCGGTCTAAGGCTGGCTCACACACTGGGATCGTTGGTTCGAATCCCACTCAAGGCATGGATATCTGTGTGCGTTTATTGTGTTTGTGCTGTCCTGTATGTAAGTAGCGGCCTTGCGACGGGCTGATCCCCCGTCAGAGGAGTCCTACCGTCTGTGTGAAAGATCAGGAAACTGAAAAACCAGCCAATGTCCAACAAAGGGCTGTGGAGCCATACAGACGAACAAGTACTCTGCGGTTTGCGGTCCTTTCGTTTTAACGTTTATTTCCTCATATACAAATCCATTAGGTCTGCTGAGATGAAATCAACCATTGCATAGGGAAACGAATTATTTGTTGTGTTCCATGAGATATTAAACCCATCTCTATGAGGTGCATGTTTCTTGCCACGCAGCAGTTACATTTTGTACGATGAGCCTTTTGGGGGGCATCGTTGAAATTATATTTCTGCTCCATGAAAAGTATGAACCAAATTAAAAATCCACCACACAACGTTTAGTAAAAAACTTTCTTAAATGCAATTATTATGTATTTTTGGTAATGGAAGATTGCTATATTTCGTGCACAAGAAAAGTTCAGAACTGGACTGTCATAAAGCGACGGGTCTCCACCGTGCCCCGCCCCGAATAATGGGTTGGGTGCGGATTCTGATATGCAGACTCTTTGGAACACAGCGGCGACTTGGAAGCCTGGAATATACTCGTAATTATGAAAAGGGAATTTAGTGAAGTGTGTTTTGACGTGTCTCAACACAGAGTTCAGTAGAGGAATCTGATCTTGGCGATGTTTTAACTTAAAACAGTTAAAGTAACTGTTCTAAAAATGTGGTCCTTGATCCACTGGTGGCTCTTATGGGCGAGCTTAATGATCAATTATCAATAAATACTGCAAAAACAACAAACCCCGTGGCCTCTAGTCCGCAGGCGAACTATACCGACCGAGCGACTGCCGCTTGTAGGAGAAGTTAGTGCCAAATTTAGCGGATGGAGGGTGTCGGGTGGTCAGCGCAACGGATCCCCACGGCCGTTAATTTCGGTTTTCTAGACCGGAGCCGCTATTTCCTTGAACTAGCTCCTCAGTTATCCTCAAGAGGTTGAGTGGACCTCGTTCCAGGCCCACTACTTCTCAGGAAATTTGGTAGCGCCGGGAATCGAACCCAGACCTCTGGATCTGTAGCCAGGAACTCGGACCACTAGACCACAGAGGCGTCTCAGAAATACTGCAAAACGTGATTAAAGTAGAAGAAAATGTACCCAAATAACACACACAAAATAACGTCCGATTTCATCTCTCGACGTCAGAAAATTATAAACGCCCAAACTATGCGTTACTTTTACATATTCTGTATAGAATACAGACTGGTGGCTACTGAAGCTTCATGGATTGTGCTATCCCTGCATTATCTTCAAACACAAGAAGACTAATGAGCTATTACATCGTTATACATACTGCATCATTCCCGCATTATAAGTCATTAATGATACCAGCATTCATACGGTGCTGAAATTGCAACTACAATTTTACTTCAACCACCAAAGCCATTGCCCGACAAGGCGAAACGATTGTTTTATTACTTCTTATAAGATTTGACCTTTTAATGGCGGTGACTATGAAGAATGCCGTCTTCTGGGATGTGACGTGTAAATCTTGTGTGAACAGACGTTTCGGAGGAACGTATCGCTTCCATCTTCAAGGCAGAAACATCTTCCACCTGCTCGCGCAGGTTCCACGCTTGCATTCTTCTGGCCTGAAGAGGCGATGCGTTCCTCCGAAACGTCCGTTCGCACAAGATTTACACGGTGCCACACCGCAGAAGACGGCATTCTTCTTATTAAAATATTGTTCGCCAGGATGATCATACATACAGAAGATTATCTAGATATCTCTTACCCAAAGAAGAGTCCTTATGAACATTGCTTGAATATAACCACTTATTTGGACACTAAAATATAGGTCTAAGCCCCTAAAATTAAGGGGTTAGAGTAATCTGTTAGGTTTTGAAGGTAACAGACAAATCTCATCTGCAACACAAAAACAATCCGAAACGTATATAATCACCGGCTCACATTATTACTCACAAAATGAACGCTGATAGCAGAAATGCGACTTCGTTCGTCTGTGGTCATGAGCTACACTGAACACGCAGTTCTTCTTTAGGAGCTTAAGAGTCACTCAGCTGGCCAAAAAATTGCGTGTTCTTATGCAGCCCAAAATTTCATTAACGTGCTCCCAAAGGGTCCACCACTGAACCCTACCCTGAGCCAGTTACCTCCAATTCGAACCTTGGCATGCTACATCATAAAAAAAAAGGTGAAGGAATCCCTGTAAGAGGCCGTGGAGACCTATAGGGTTGTGAGATGTTGAGGTTCCCACATTTTCTAGACAATCGGCTCATATATGGCGGCAAGGTTGTCAGCCTTACGCGCCGGTCGCCCTTTACCCCCAAGGATATTCCTGGTACTCATTTCTGTTAGAGGCTGAGTCGACCCCAGGGCCATAGTGCGACCCAAGCACCCTACACCATACTATCCATTTTAATATTTCCTTCCCATGTACCTCGTTATCATCCAAATGGTTTCCTCCATTCGAGTTGCATGCACTGCTCAGTGTCGTGGTTCTTACCTTCCACCCAGAGCTGGTCGACACGAGTGTGCAGCTGCGCTGACTTGAGGCCGACACAGAACGTCGCGAGCACGAGGATGGCCACGAAGAGCACTTTCCCGGCGTGACGATGCAGGAAACAGCCGAGCTGAAACAACTGGCTCTGGAGGCGCGCCCTCAGCCACAGGGCTGCCCGCTCCCCGGTCGCTTTACCCTGCAACAATACAGAGACCCATGTCGAAACAGAAAACATTAGCGTTCCAAAGCAACCTCTGCCTTGGTGTCTTCGAATCTGGAGGAGGTGGAGAAGGAAAGTTCCTCCGAAACGTCGGAAATGTTTTGTGATACACATACAACTCTATAACGCATATTCTTGTTTTTCCTAGCGCTCCACTGTCGTCTTCCGAAGTTATCTGGATTTTCTTAATTTCCATCTCTGTTTTGTAAGGGACTCGTAACATTTCAAGAAAGAAATTCCCAGTAACATTATATGAGCTACTGCACAAATGCCCCCAAGGCATTTCCCTCGCCTGTCGCTACGAAATCCTTAGCACTAATTTTCTACCACGTGACTACGAATGCTTCATTCGAAATCCTAGCATATTCGCCACTTAGGATTACTCTTCTATTTCCCTAATTCAATACTATACTCGTCTAGACTCGGTACTTCAATGTCACTAACTAACTTACGAAACAAGCAGTCGGTATAGCGACTGGTTACGGGATGGACGACCGAGGGGTCGGAGTTCGAGTCCCGGTAGGGTCAAGAAATTTCTCTTCTCCACCTCGTCAAGACCGGCTCTGGGGCCTACCCAGCCTCCTGTCGAATGGGTACCGGGGGTAAAGCGGACGGGGAGTGAAGCTGACCATTCACCTCCAACTAGTTCTGAGGTCAAGAAAATTGTAATCTATACATCCACTCCCAGTGCTTATTTAGTTAAGCACAGGAACAAATTTACCTTTACCTTAAAAGATGAACATTATGAAATGACAAGTGGAGGGGTCAACCCGGCGCACAGTAAGATGTTTCGGATTGAAGTGGAGATGAGTGTATAACTTTCAGGCGTAGTGGGATTATGGGGTAAACTGGATATACTGGAAGGCGGGTGTGAAGGTGGACTACGGACTTAGACCCAATCCAAAGGAGAGCTGGTTCATAAAAGGAGTCAGTTCCTTGTTCAACTGTGATTATACACTTTCAGGGAAGTTCTTACCTAGGCCCTACTTCCATTGCATACATCCACTTCGTTTACCTTGCCCGAAGTACGCATACAAATTTGTTACAAATAACGACCACATTCAAAGCACAGATTTTCTGTTCTGTGGTCACTGTGCAGAATAATTTTAGGCGTGGTGACGTCTACTCTTGCCAAGAAATAGGAGCCAAACTCATTTTCCATACCTCTGTGGTCTAGTGGTCAGGGTTCCTGGCTACATATTCAGAGGTCCCGGGTTCGATTCCCGGCGCTACCAGGTGGGTCTGGAACGGGGTCCACTCAGCCTCGTGAGGATAAATGAGGAGTTACTTGAATGGAAAAGTAGCGGCTCCGGTCTAGAAAACCGATATTAACGGCCGTGGGGATCCGTTGTGCTGACCACGCGACACCCTGTATCCGCTAAAGTTGGCAGTAACTTCGGCGACAAGGGGCGGTCGCTTGGTCGGTATAGTTCGCTTGCGGACTACAGGCCGCGGAGTTAGTTAGTTTAGACCTTTGTAGTTGGCCTCATTGCGGATTTCATAGGCAGATCAATTCAATCTCATGAGTTTATTAACTTCTTCTCTGCTTTGTATCTGCAGTGACTCGCCAGCCAGTGGCTTGCAGACGTAGCAATGCGGAGACGGTGGCCGAACACGCAATAATTCCGTGTTGTAGCGGTTGCTTACATGTTCTGTGTTTTGCTCTCACATGTTACGATGCTGCAGCAATTGCTGATACTATTTATCGAAATGACGAGTATGCATGGTGAGAGGTAAAGGACTGCAAAGAAATAAGTCGTGACCTATTTGAAAGCATTACATGGACAGGGACGAAAGCCAGGTACGCCGCCATGAACTCGCTACTGTTACACAAATATGACGGCCCACTCGGCTGTTGTATCTGACAACGTATATATCATGAGTCAATGGAGGAAATTGTCCTATTTAGAAAGAGTAACGAACCTGATCCAGTAGGATCCTTCCCACTTAACCCTTTGTTACGAAAATAGATCCTGTTTCAGAAGCGCTGTACTCATATGTGGCATCTAACAGACAACAAATAACAATACATGTTAATAGAAAATTCAACGTTGTTAAGACATCTTTCTGTGGACTGCAAAACAACACGACGGAAGCACGAAAATTATATTTAGTTTTCGGTAACATATCATGGCCACATCCGTCTATCTATCTATCTATCTATCTATCTATCTATCTACAGTCCCTTGTTGGACCTTGGACGCTTTTTCAGTTTCTTAATCATATACACAGTTGTTATGACTCCCTGGGCGGGAGATCAGTCCGTCGCAAGGTCGCTATCTATACACAGAATACAAACACAGGAATAAACGCACACAATATAGACATCCATGCCTTGTGTGGGATTCGAACCCACGTTCCAGGTGTCTGAGCGGGCGAAGACAGTTCATGCCTTAGAACGCGCGACCACTGTGTTCGGCAAGTATTGCAGCTACGCAATGGAGACAGACCATAAACACATGCACATACATACAGAACAATTGTAAACGTAGCGTCTATCAAATTTACCGTAATAAAAATTTTATTCGCGAAGTTATACAAAAAATGAATGGTACAAATATTAATTTACAGTTGTCAGTAGCCTCACTGTATGGATACAATAAAGCGTTTTAAAGGAATACATTTTTCCCACGAATTCTTGATAAATATTTTATTTTTAAACCTCTTGAGTAAGTTCGTGCTTGTACAGTTGTCATAATGTCGGTTAGCTGCAGCGCGGTCCCATGATACTGAATTACCTGGCGGTGAGGTCACGAAGTGAGTCTACTGTGATCACTTTATATCGGGAAAGACCACGTCTAGGCGACGTGCGAATTCTACTGCTCTGAGTCAATTTATTCGTGGGAAACGCTATAAAAGGCACAGTGCAGAAACAGAGCGTGGGAAAACTGCAGTCATCATGAGATGCAGAAGGAACAGCTGTTTCATGTCCTTAAATGAGATGTTATTAAGTTCTGCAAGAAGACTCATCGTTAAATAACTTTAAACCTTTATTATTCCAAATTTATCTTCTTGTATACTAAATTATTGGTTCCTAGATTATTTTACGACGATCTTTGACAAGCAGACGTTACACAGTCTAAAATAAAATGAAAAATAACAATGAATAGGTAAGAATTTGAAGAAGATAATGCTGTACGTATATCTGACAACACTATACCGACATTTCGTGGAAGAGACTGGGGAAAACCATAATAACTCTGTCAGAATAGTCGGTAAAAGTTAAAAAAGGTAAAGTTGTCCCTGTGCTTAACTAATTAAGCACTACGCCATGAAGGCGTGTGGGGGAGTGGATGTATAGATCCACATTTTCTTTCGGCATTAGCTGTAGGTGTGTGGTCAGCTTCACGCTCCGGCCACTTTACCCCCGCGGAAAGAGCCCCCGATACCCCTTGGGTAGGTTAGGTGGACCCCAGAGCCGGCCTGGACGACGTGGAGAAAACTCTTGACCCTACCGGGACTCGAACTCCGACCCCTCGGTCGTCCATCCCGTGGCCAGTTGCTATACCGCAGGATAGCCGGTAACCCGACAGAAATTCGAACCGGATATATTCAAAATAAATAAGTCTAGAGCATCACCAATACCCCAAACCACTCAGTGTATGTTAACTAACTCCATGCAGCAGTCCTTCAGAATCTAACAGTTGCTCAACTTGTCAAGGAACTCCCCGCAATTTATGGAACCTGAAAATTTACTACAGCGTTCCTAAGAAAGCGCGACTGATTCGTATCCTCGGCCAGACGAATTCATTCTGACATCGTCACATCCACTACCTGGTCTTTCTAATGGTCTCCTTCCTAATCTATATATCCGTTTCTCTTCTCTCCCATGCGTGCTACATGCCTTGCCAATTTGATCTGGCAAGGAGTACAAATTCTGAAACTCTTCACTGCGCAATTTATTCCACATTCCTGCTATTCGGCGTATAAGTAATGGTATGAGCCGGGATACCTCAGTCAGTATAGTGACTAGCAACGGACTGGACGGCTGAGGAACTGGGGTTCTATCCCGGTAAGGGAAAGAGATTTTCCCCTTCGCCACAGCGTCCAGACCAGGCCTGGAGGCCACCCAGCCTCCTATCAAATGGGGACTGAGGGCTGTTTCCTCTGGGTTAAAGCGGCCGGTGCATGAAGCTATACTCGCCTCCATCTAGTGCCTGGGTCTGGAGGCCACCCAGCCTCCTATCAAATGGGAACTGAGGGCTGCTTCCTCTGGTTAAAGCGGCCGGTGCATGAAGCTATACTCGCCTCCATCTAGTGCCTGGGTTAAGAATGCGTGGATCTATACAGTCACTCCCCCCATACATCTCAATGACTTGGACCTTAATTAATTAAACATAGATATAGTTTTACCTGTGTTTTAATCTAAATGTTATGTTAAGTGTTCAAGTTTCCGTTATATATGGTCAGTGGAATGCAAATTCTTATGTGGTACATCTCTCAGTTTCGAAGTCCAGAGACGCCAAAAGTTGGGAGAACGAATTTTCGGCTTTCGATGCATACAGAAAGAGACGAGCCGTGTCCCCAGGATTCTTTAAACTTCACGCGCCTGCGTGCGGATCAAGTCACGGATAATGAAATTTGAAACCGGAGCGAAAGGAAGAAGCAAAGCACAGAACAGAGCGTCAGTCCGCAGTTCCAGAAGCCGGAATGACAGCACCATAACAGTGCATTCCCCTAAGTGGCAACATGGGCACAATCAAATTCAGGTTCTGGAACATGGAAGGAGATAAATCAAAACACGACTTCCGCCCCTTATTTAAATTTGTGGACTTAAAAACGAAAAATAACATTGTATTTTGTACAGCCTTGGCCTGTGTTTACAGAAATCATGTCATATGGTGCCATGCTGAACTCCAACGCTGAATCCCGAAAGCCAGAAAGTTCACTGTGTCCATAATGGTAAGCAAAGCTATCCCTGTAACGGGCCGTGGAGGCCCACGGGGTTGTGAGATGCTGAAGTTCCCACATTATCT